ATATATATATATATATATATATATATATATATATATGGGTTGACATTTCCATTTCTTTCTCTTTTTTTTTTTTTCTTCTTCTTCTTCGTTTGAGTTAATTACAGATTGGCCTCACATGATGATCCTGGTGTAACTTCACCACGAAGATTGCGCGGCATTTCTTTACGCACCTCTGCTGGTGAAAGACCCTTTCCAAAGAGATACATTAGCTTTACTTCCGCTGCCGTACTTGTCATTCGCAAGTAAATAAGATGAGGTGATACTGTTCGTAATCGAAGTTGTTCCGCTGCGGAAAGACTTCCACATGGTTCCCGCACTGTTACACAAGTAACAATATCACGTTTATTTGCCACCTCTGCAAGTTGGTGAAGAAGTATAGAGTACTTACTCTTTAATGAACCCACACCGCTGATCTCTAGCACCACAGCATCCAGCAATGGCCTACGATGGTGTGTTGCTGATGTTGTTGCTGCAGTCGCATTATCTATGCTGACCGTATTCGTTTCTGACGTCTTTTCTTCCTTTTCTTTTTCGCTTCTAATACTATCCTTTTCCTTTGTCTTTCTCACCGGTGTGCCTCTGTCTGTTAAGAGTAACTGCGTTAATACACTCACATCACAGTCGGGGTGCAATACAAACAAGGCCACACGTCCACTCATATCGGACTCCACACTAAGAGGTCCGGCCGGTTGGGGCAACAACAAGTGTTGCCGTAATTGAAATCCCGTTGCCTCAATAACACCGAGTGCGGGATAATTTGGACTGCAGAAGGCCCCAAAGGTGTGATGAAGTTTAAAACAACAATTACCACGCAGTAAACAATCATTAAAGAAGACACACACCTCACGTATGGCGGGATTGGATGCCAACATGAGGCTAATCACAAGATTACGCCGGGCATCACTGTAGGGTTCCACCAATGGTACCATCGATCCTGTAAGAATAACCGGTTTTGCAAGATTGTGGAGTAAAAAACTTAATGCCGTGGCGGTGTAATGCATTGTGTCGGTTCCATGCAAGACGAGAAATCCATCATAGGCATCATAATGACGTTCAACATCGGCGGCAATGCGAACATAATCTCGTCCATCCATATTACTACTATCAAGAAGTACATCATACTCCACCACATCAAATGGGGCAACTTCAGGGCGTTGTTGTAATTCTCCCATATTTCGCACAACTTGTGTGAGATAACCTTTACGTGGAGAGAGGGCCCCACTCGCACTGCGGGTCATTCCAATGGTACCACCAACGTACAACACCAACACACGACGCTCACGGCGAGGGAATAAATCATCACTTAGGTAATGGTAATTGCAACTGCCAGTATTATAATTGTTGTTGTTGTCGTCACTCGCAGAAGCAGAAGGAGCAATGGCAACAACAGAAGCACCACTCCGGCCTTCGTTGTATGATACGAATCGAATAGGGTTTCGTGAAACCACGTTTGGACGGTTCTGAGAAATCTGTGCTGTATTTTCCATATCACGCTCCCCAACACCCCACTCGAAACACCCTACTTTGGTTCCTCGTGTATGTGTCTGTGTGTCTGTCTGTTATATAGGTATATAGATATATATATCTATATCTATATCTATATATATATATATATACCTTGGTGTATGTACGTGTGAATGCGTATGTATGCTTGTGTGCCGAAAGAATGATAAACGAAGGAAGAAAAAAAAAAAAACACGAGAGAGAAAAGACAGTATCCATTACATGCATCAAAACAGAATGCCAAAGGAAAAAGAGACAAAATAGGAGAAAAAGAGAGAGAGAGAGAGAGAGAGAGAGAAAAACAAGGGAACCATAAGCTCCCTCACCTCACTCTCCCCCGTAAACATTTTTTTTTTTCAATGAATAAAAAGGTTCAATACGAACCCATTAAAATGAAATAAAAATAAAAACCACAGTATATGTGTGGAATCCTCCGGCGGTCTGGAGACAATCCGCGCTTAGTCAAAGAGACCGAAGCCCATATCGTCATCTTCCTCTTCCTCCACCTTCTCCTCCTTCTTGGCAGCGGGGGCCGCAGCACCACCAGCAGCCGCAGGGGCCGCAGCTCCGCCAGCAGCGGGAGCACCACCACCAAACGCAATGTTGGAGAGCACATCGTTGATGTTCACAGTCTCGAGAACAGCGGCGTAGGCGCCGGCCATTCCTTTGCTCACCTCAACACCAGCGGCCTTCGTCACAGCCAGCAGGCTGGAGGCGTCACACTTGCCGCTGTCAGCGAGGAGGAAGGCGGCGTATGTGCAGGCGAGTTGCTGGGTCGACATCGTGTAACGGATAAAAAAATGGATAGCGGAGCGAGTAAGATTCCCACTATAGTAAATAAAGAAAGAAAAAAAAAGAAAAGAGAAAGAAAAAAAAAAACAAACAAAAAAAAAAAACAATATTAACCAAACAGTAACAAGAGTAGAAAAGAATATATATATATATATATAAAGCAGAGGAATAAGAGTGTGATGGTTGGGAAGAAAAAGAAAAACAATAAATTAGTAAACTGTCCTCTTTCTACATCTTCCACCCACTAAACCCCAGAATACCTATAATATAAGAGGTCTATCAAGCGATAGAAGAAGGATTCATAAAAAAAAAAAAAAAATGCATGTGAATTATGAGACAAAAAAAAAAACCTGCTTATATTAACGTATCGACGTTTCTAACTCACTATCGTCCATGCTGGAGGTGGTTTCGCCTCCAATACTTCGGCTGTTTCACCAGGGGCGTAGCGAAGTGTATAACGCCACGCATGTAGATAAATACCCTGAGAAAATAGAGAATCATAATTATCTTCATCATCCTCATCTGCCTCTTCTTTATATAAAGGTGAACCCTCACATTCAAGGGTCATAGAAGTCTTATTCAATTTTCTCTTCTCTGGTTCTAATGTGGAAATATAACGAATATATTTGGTATCACCTCGAATAGGATGCCCTAAAGATGCCAAATGTACACGTACTTGATGTGTGCGGCCTGTTAAAAGAATACACTCTACCACAGACTCATCACAGTCTTCATCATATCCCACAAGTCGAACAAGTGTTACCGCTCGTTTCATACTCTGTTTTAATGTAGATAAACGCTCTTCTGCGATAACGTTATCAGTTCCTTCTTCACTTCTCTCAGCTACTGATCGTCCACCAACAGTTAATCTACGCATACGCTCATGTTTAGCTTCTAATGCGGCATTATCACGATGAATACCCCGTTTTTTACCCGCAACATGAATTTTCCCATTACTTCCACTTCCAATTGTGCTCAGAGCTTCTTTTTCTGCTGCAACTTCTGCTTCCTTTTCTTTCATCCACGAATTGGTCATTTCTGCATCCGGACACCAATAAAGACTCTCATGATATGAAAGACACCCGATAGGGCGATCCACACGTAACCAACACACAGTCTCATCTCCGTTCACAGAAACTAAAGAAGATGGAGGTTTCACCTGAGTACAGTGATGTTGCCCTTTCACTAGTTTCATAACATCGAAACGACCATGTACTCGTGCAAAATATTGTTTGGTACACCCTATTATTGTTTCAATCTCTGTTGCTGTTGATGCTTCTGCTTCTGTTGATGTTGTAACACCAATATTATCGTAGACATCACCTTTCTGTGCCACTAACTCTGCCGTTATACGGGCACTAACAGAATCTAAACCGAATAACAATACACCACTTGTTGCAGCATCAAGCCGATGTACGACAAAGGCTTTTAATCCTTTTACGTCTTGTTCTTTTCTCAGTAGCGAATGTAATTCCTCCCATGCATCTCGGCTAACATATTTGTCCCCAATCCACACACGTATCAGCTCAAAATCATATTCTTTATGACGTATTGACATGAGTACAACACCCTCTTCATGTTCAATGTCAGATTTCTCTAACTCTACGGCGTGGTAACGATGGGCATCAACACCACCAAAAATATCTTCCATTATAGACGTTACAGAGTTCTTGCGATTACGACCTGAAGGATGCACTGGTAGCCCGTGCGGTTTACTAAGAACAAGAAGTCGTCGTGGTGGTGTTCCTCGAGGTATGTGATCATAACGAAGAATATGAAGTGGCTCATCACACGGCATTGGAGCTTCACGTCGTAGCACTTGATGTAGTACAATATCCTTCTGTTGTAGAACCAAATGTTGTTGCTGTAAAAGCAATTCTACTGCCTCATCATCTATCATCATTTCCTCTACATTCACTGAACTACTTATATTCTCATTGGTGTGTTCACCACGCAAACGTTGTAATTCAGCGCTATAGGCTTCTCCTGCAGCGCGACACTCTGCCTCGCGGCCGTTCAGCCACAACAGACCGTTGCGCAGCTCCTCAATGTACGCTGGAACGGTAATGCGGGGATCCAGACTGGCGCGCGGTCTATCGTTTATGGCCGTGAGAGGCGGAACGTATGCGAATTCGCGTGCCACGACGTGAAGAAGCGGCCGTCCAATCCACCGTCCCTTCGCCGGGGCGCGGAAGGTGAAGGGATACGGCGCCACCGCCAACACACGCCGGCCACCACCACTACTCCCACTATTAGTCGTATTAATCGTATTGGTATTCGTATTACTAGTGGAGGGTGGAAAAAGAAGAAGGGGATGGCGGTCGCCAAGGGCGGGGACGTCATGGGTCAGTTCCTGCATAGAGAACACGGCAGGTGTTACTAAACAAAAAGAAACAAACAAAGAGAAAAGGATGGAGAAGCAAATAAGTAAGTGAAGAGGGGAAAAAAAAGAAAAAGAAAGGAACAGAAATAATAACTAGAACTGGGCCTTTTTCGCTACATCCCACCTCCCCCCCAAAAAAAAATAGAGCCATATACATACAAAGGAGTATTAAGCGGCTCCTTTTCGCTCTTCTTCTACGTCTTTTTGTTATTCTTTCTCTTTTCTTCCTCTCTTTTGTGTGTATATATGTGTGTTTCACCAGTCAAATACATTCTGCACGTGTGGATTACCCCTCCTTACCTTACAAGGATGGAAATTGTCAGGGCAAGAGTATCACTGAAAATCGAAAGCAATGAACACCGCAGCTCCAGAATACAGTATTTCCGCTAGTGCAACACGAGTTTGGTTATTATTATTATTATTATTATTATTATTATTATTATTATTATTATTATTATTATTACTATTATTTTCTAAAAAAAGGGGAGATATAAGAGTGCCTCAATGAGGGAATTACATGTAAAGAGGTTTCAAAAATAAAAGGGTTAAAAATAGAAATGAACACAAACACTCACACTCACACACCAAAACAGAAAGAAAGCCAACACCCAAAGAGAATATGGACCACTCATAATAGCAGGTAAGGAATAAAAAACACCAAACCCACAACATTAGATAAATGGATCAAAACAAAAGAAAATAAGAAAATAAAAAAAATAAGGTGAGTAATCCTATACTTGCGCCACACCACCACATCTCCTTCAAGTCATTTGCACTGAGTATTTCATACTACATGTTTTCCTTTTTTTTTTTTTTTTACAGCCATTTTCATCACCATTTTGCATTACTTTGCCTTTGCTTGCATCATCTCATTAGTGGCAGTTTGTGTCAATTTTTCTACATGCCGCTGTAAAAACAATAACGCCACATCGGAGATAATTACCAGAACACTTAGTACACTCATTGAGGTTATCACTTGTACGTTTAACTTACACTCAAGCGTCTCTGCATCATAGCGGTAGGATATCACATCGCTACAGTCAGGTGACATCCCACAGCGATTAAGGCTTGTGAAAAGTACATGTTTGCCCTCACACGTTTTTCTCCCCGCACACCCTTTCACCTCATAAGCGTCAGAGGTCGGTGGCGAACGTCCCCGTTCTCCCTTCTCTGATGCTAAGACCATAATGGGTATACCACGGGCGTTTACACCATCGGCGAAATTACGTGTAACAGATATCCTGGCGTCCTTCAGAAAGAGTGCTCCCAGGACGATGCGTGGGATTTCCCAGTCGTGAGCCCCACGACGCAAAGCTTCGCTAACAGAGCCCGAGCACCCCAGTCGAAGGAAACCATCTTCATCGACCAGCTTTTTAAGATCAATGTCAAATAATGTAATCCAAAAGTAATTGTTTGACACAAGACGACTCCTACACCCTTGCACTTCCATTTTCATTGTGGGGAGTTCATTCAGTAGACTAGGGGGGATTTTGCACGCCATGTGTTCGTAAGGAGTAGTAAGGAATACGCAGGCTCCTGCGTCATGCAGTGATGCGCTGATGTCACTCGTACCGTCACTTATCCAGCCACTAATGGCGCGTAGCACCTCACGTGGAAAGAGCATACGGGTAACCGCTGTGTTTGTGCTGACCACTGCTCTGAGTAGATGGGTTATAGTGCGGCCAGTGAACTCGTTCACAATGGTGGAGACAACTTCATTGCAGAGAAATAGTCTAGCCGGGAACGGTATCCCAACAGAGGCGAGAGGCAGCTGCTCAATACTTACCTGGCGAAGTGCACAAAAGGAGGTCGACAAAAAACCCCGATCATTGAGAACGATATTAGAGGACTGCACCATTGTAAGTGAGGAGGGATCAATCGTGAATGAGGTGTACAGGGATCCACAGCATGGTGACGCAACAGAGAGTCCAACCACGTAGGCATAATCCTCCTCGTCACTGTCACCACCACCGCTACTACTATCATAGTCGTCATCATCATCATTACACTTGAAACGCATACACTCCTCAAGAGGAAAACTAACGCCAAACCTTGTGGGTGAATTCTTGAGTACACGAAAAATACCAGGTGGGTATTGAGTTTTAATATACACCATACGACGCATTGTACGACCAAACCCCGAAGGACACAGAGATTCTTCTTCAACAAAAGTCCCTGTTGCCTCTGTTAAACAAAGTACTTGCTCTCTTGAGACCAAGGAGTCATTAAGTACGGATAGCTTGAACACCCTCTTTACCGTAGGATCGATTCTCAGAGTAGAAGCTGTTACGTGCGAAATAGCACCAAAAAGAATCAGTAGCAAGAGTCCACAAATTAAAGAAAATGTCCCAACATGTGACATTACATTCAATGCTCCTTTCCTTTTCATCTTTATATCTATGTATTCAAGCACTTCCAGCACCCTTTAACAGTTTTCTTCCTCTCTTTCCAGCGGTTAAATATACTCATATATATACGTGTCGTATACATAGATAGGGAAAAGAAAATAAAAGTGAAGAAAAACGAAAAAAATAGATCGCCATATCTTGCTATAGTTTTGTTCCATTTCATACACATATGAGTCTCTTTGTTTATACAAAGGTTTCTTTGATACATGTGCGGTTGTGCAGAACGTAGACAAATAAATAAATAAATAAATAAATAAACTTTTTTTCTTTTTTCCACGCATATTCACACGTGCGCACTATCACACACGCTTAAAAATTAGTACGATACAGTCTGAAATAGAGCAAGTGACGATAACCATTCAGTTTTCTTTTTCTTTTCCCCATTGACACAGTGACAACAAATAAATAGAAAAATAGAGCAGAAAATCATCAAACTAAGAAATATACTCAATACTAACAATAACAATAATAATAATAACAATAACAGTAATAGTAATGACAACAAGAACAACAACAACAACAACAAAAAAAAAAAAAAAAAAAAAAAAAAAAAAAAAAAAAAACGCTATACTTCACTATACTCCACACTGTCACCTAGAACTTTTATTTATTTTTCTTGGGGAAAGAGTTTCCCCAAATTTCCACATTTTTTTTATTCGTATTTTAGCCACCAGAAACAGAAGCTTCACGTACTGCTGTTATTTCGTCGGTCCATTCACCCTGTGCAACATCCTGCAGGGAGAGACGCCGCACCGTTGTCTTCGCCACTTCCAGATCTCGCCGCAGCAATAATATTTCACTCTTCTGCTGTAGGAGCATGCGATCCTTCTCTGCCATTTCGTCCTTCAGGAGTGCAATCGTCTTCTCAAGTCTTGAGACCACCCTTTCTACCGCCAATGTTGCTCTTCTTCTTGCATGGACAGTAGCTGCATTCATATCCACCACCTCTACCTTCACCACCTCCTCTTCCTCCTCCTCCTCAGCAGCATTGGCCTTCACCTTCTCTGCAGCATCCCCACCACTATTTCTCTCCTTTTCCTCTTCCTGTGTGTCTTCTGTTGTGAGTGGCGTGGCCGCGGCGGTGTATGGGCGGCGCAGGGCGGGGATCGCCGCCCGCCGCCGGCCGAACGTGAAGGCGACCGGCACCGTCAGTCGATTCGTCCACGTGCCCGCCACCCGCCCGCTCAACCGCCACCCCGCCGCCGCCCGCCGCCGCCGCGCCTCCCGCAACCGCTCGAGATGCGCCGCCACGCCCGCCTCATCCCGCAGCGCGCAGGCCGAAGGACGTGATGGACACGCGTTTCCTCTTTTGTGTGGATCTGCTGTTTTGTGTGGTGGAGATTTGAGGTTGGGGTGGAAGGAGCACCCGTCGAGGGATTTGAGGGTCTGTTCGCGTTGCAGCTGCCGCCGGAGACGCTCGCGGCTCTCCAGCCATCGTTGGGATTTGATGTACATGGCATCTGGTCGGGTGATGTAATAACGTCCCGCACACCGCAGTTGTTCCTCAAAGCGTCGCTCCTCCATGGCGATTTGCTCCTGCATGCCCATGTATCCAAAGAAGGAAAGAGGAGTGCTGGCAGCTCGACAGGCTTCAGCCTGTCCATCAGAGCCACCAATGATGGCTTCTTCCCCCGTATAAAGATCGGATGATATCTCACCTTCTTCTCTTCCCTCTTCCTGGTGCTTCTTCTTCTCACCTAACCCCTTTTGATTAAGGAAGGCGGTATCCTGCAAGGTGCGTGCCTGTTTGAGGTAAACCTCACGTCTTCTCTGTATACGTTGTTCTTCCGTAATGTTCTTGGCAGATTGACAACGTTGCATTCCCTCTTGGTTGTGGACGTTACGTTTCTGGTGAGACGAAACTACAGGTGATGCAAAGAAAAATGAAGATGCAATATGCGACTCCCTCTTGGCTTGCGGTTTTAGTGGTTGTGGTGAGAATTCAGTGTTTTCAATCTCACTTCGTGGTTGACTCCTGTTGGTATCTGTATCAGGAGCAACAGTTACCCCTGGATTTACTTGTGCTGAGAGTGATGGTACTTCATTTAATGTATTATTATCGAGAAACCTGCGATGTTCATCCAGACGAGCACGGTGGCGAGCAATGACATCATCCACGCTCATGTTTCACTGCTTCTTTAGTTTTGTTTGTCTATTCTCTTGTTTAGATTTACAAGGTGTTTATGTGTTGGCTTGATGATGTATAAACTACTCTTCCTTCCCTGACTATCTCTCTCTCTCTCTTTCTCTGTGTGCGTCGGCAGAGAAATCGTTAAGTTAAGAGAAGGAAAAAAAAAAAAATGCAAGGCGTGTCAGCCACTAAGAGCGACTACTACAAAAAATAAAAACAGAGAAGAGGTAAAGAAGAAGAAAAAAAAAAGGAAAGAAATGAATAAAAATCTCTTTGTCACCCTCTTTGAAAAACACTAACAAACTTGTTAAGAAGAAAGAAATAAAATTCCTTCCATTTGTTGTGGATACCCTTCTTAGTGATCCCGTCATTAAATGAATATACGCGAGGGAAACGTATTTAAATACGAGACATGAATATAATAACAGCAACAACAGCCTATTTATTGCCACCTGACACACAAGTAATCACACATTACAGAAAAAAAAAGAAAAAAAAAAACACAGCAATATATCGTTAACTCACAGAAAAATCAGAAATAATGACCTTCAAGAGTAACCAATAACAAAAATGATTAAAGTAAGATACTCAAGAGATTTATATTTACCTAAGTACTGTTAAGAAAAAAAAAAAAAAACAAAGATATCTGAAACCACCCCCACCACCCTAGAGACCTGGCGCAAACTGTTGTGAAACACTTTTTCCTTTCATCACAGACTTTGTCTTTCTTTCTTTCTCTCTCTCTACAGACACACACACACACATTACCCTTATATGTATGTATATATATATATTTATGTAAATGTACAAGTACGTTAACTATTCCCACAATCATCACCATACCAGCGTTTCAAACTGGTTCGTTATATCCGTACATATTAATTCCGTAGTATCGTTTGAGTTAAAAGTCAACAGTAACCCCTCACCTACCACTATAGCTGATGCCGCTGTATCTCTTTTCATTTATGTTTACTCATTAACAGTTAGCATCACTTTGGAGGAATAGTTACAAATTATTCTTCTTCTTATCATCGTTTCTCTTTCTACCGGCTGGGAGCAATGGGTAATGATGTTACTGGCAAATGAGAAAAGAGCAGAGGAGGAACTACACCCAAAGCCGTCAGTATTGAAAAAAAAAAAAAATCACACACACACACAATACATTTCATAGAAATAAATAAAATAATTACTCTTTTCACTTTAAATATATTTTTCTTTTTCATTTGTATTTTTTTTTTTTTTTTCCTTTATTCATTTCACCCTTTTTCCTTCTTTTTGTTTTTCTCCTTCTCCCCTCTAATATATGCATTACGAGCGCCAATAAGTACTGTCCTGGCAATATATCAGCAGTAGTAGTGACAATACCAATAGGGGAAAAAAAAACAAAAATCCAAAACATTGCCAATACGCGAAAAAGTAAAAGAAAGTAAACAAACAAAACAAAGATTCCTCTGGAAAATCAAAGAAAAGAAAAAAAAAAAACAAAAGAAAGAAAAGGAGGTAAGAAAAGGTCACATAAAGGTAATATTGCATACAAACACAGAAATCCATCAAAGCGCCATATATGCGTTTTCAGCCACAAGGGCTGAGACATCATTTCACTCGTGGACAACACTTTCCTCCACCTTTTCTCATCTTGTAGGGCAAATGAAATGAACACCAAAGCAACAGAAGAAATCAAAGAAGAAGAAAAAGAAAAAAAAAAAAGAACGCAAAAGAAAAATCTATCATTACAACCATGCAAACAATCACCTTCTCACCCCAAATACACATTCAAACAAACATAGATAGATAGAGAAAAGAAAGAAATTAGAAAAAAAAAAAAAAAAAAAACACACACACACTTCAGAAGGGACATACATAAGCCGCTAAACGCAGAAAGATCGGACGTTTATTGTGTGGTACTGGTGTATACAAAATACCATCAGGTTGTCTTGAGGGTATAATTCCCCCTTCGTCCTCATCCAATTCTCTATTAAGATCGGAGGTCATTGGACTCGCTAGTTGCAGTTCACGTCGTTCATCATTTGTGCTGTAGTTACATAAAAAGTCTACCACATGACTAGACTTTGAGCAAAAACACTCATCCACAATGGCATCTGTATGATTTGCACCAGGTACAAGAATAAATTCAATAACGACTGGTCGTAGACGTGGTTCCATTGCATTTACATAATCCGTACTGGTGTAACGCTCAGCAAGATAAGCACGTTGGGCATTACGCATCATAAATGCGAGATTTGCAGATTCTGATAATGGTGCACTGCAATCGGCATCACCGTGAATAAAGAACATATACTCTGGAAGGAAATCAAATATGTTCTTTGGAATGACCTCTCCAGTCTCAGCACGTCGTCTTTCATCAAAGTAGGTATTAATTGAAAATCGTGGCATATTTTCACGTCCACCGGCAATTTGGTAAAGTACACGTTTATATAATCCTCGTCGGTGAAAGTGACGCACAAGACCACGTACATTGTAAATACCACTAATACCTACATAACGTTGAATACTTTGTCGAGGATTATACCGCATAACATTATAGGCAAAATTCTTCCTTGGTGTTTTATTTAAACTTTCATCATTCTCATTACTTTCCCCATTTCTTTCATTTTTAGAAGTACTTCTACTGTCATGATCGTTAGCATCGTTGTTGTTGGCCTGTTGGGCGTGCAGTTGTGCCTGTGAGATGAGGGACATCATAGTGAGATGTGCACCGGCGGATTGTCCAACAAGGGTGACGTCGTCTAAATCGCCACTGTAGCGTTCGGCATTCTGCAAGACCCATCGAATAGCGTCCGAGACATCCAACACCATTCCTTCCATATCTGTTTGTGGAAAATTGCGGTAATCGGGGCAAAAGACAATATAACCACGGGCAGCCAACAAACGGGCAATGAGAAAACTCCATAAATTACTACCAATAATCCACGCCCCACCATTAATGGAAATAACAATAGGGAATTTACGTCGATGGAGTCGTGAACGTGCGGACATTGTCTTTTCCTGTTCCATCATGCGGAAAAGGGCATCTAATGGAATTGGAAGATAAATATCAAGTGTAGCGCGATTGTGTAAATTCTTTCGATCTTCCTCATCTTCCTCATCTTCGGATTCTGCCGTAGATGGACCTTCCAGCACTTCACTTATCTTCGGTTCAGGATTCTTCTTTTCTCCGGATGGAGGTGTTGCTCCTGTTCCTTCTTCTGTGTTAGTTGTTGTTGCAGTGTTGTTGTTGTTGTTGTTAGTTGTGTTGGTGTTGGTGGATCCAGTGTTTCCACAGTAATATCGTTGAATAACGGAGAGGGTATCGGCGAAGGAATCGCTATTACTCAACTGCAGTACCGCATCGGTGGCCCCAGTTGAGGTCATGCACTGTGGAAGTCCAGACATTAATCGACCATCGGCGGGATTTAATGAAGTGGCGAGGAGTTCCACCGCCAATGTTTGTGGATTGATGGTCTTTGAGAAGGATGCGGCAAGTGTGGGATTGCTTATACTGTTGTTATTAGCCATTCCAGCAAGTACCTCCTCCGCATTATACATAAGAGGAGCATCTCGTGTGATCTTCTTAAGGAATATCTCCAAATTACGGCGTTTCGTGCGTTGTGAAGATCGATAGGCCACACGGCGAATAACATTTGGTGAGACAATATACCACAGTATATGTGGAATAAAATACTGCAGCTCCAGCATTGCGTAGAGAAAGAGACGAATAGCCATAATAATCCACTTTAGCCCAACACCCATAGCGGCAATAAGCTGGGCCGTAACGCTGATCAGCCATAGTATTTGCTGAAGCACATATCTCATCATCATTCTTTTTTTTTTTTTTTTCGCTTTGTCTTTCGGTTATTTCGCTTGCCTTTTTTCTTTTTTTTTTTTTGTCTTTTTTTTTATTTTCCTCAAATAAATATAAATATGTAGAAATGTTTTTATTCAGGTGGTTATGCCACTAAGATAATATGATATTATACTTTCTCTCCTCTTTTTTTTTTTTCACTATCAGGAATACGAACGGCACTCTCTTTTTTTTTAAGAAGAACGTTCTTTTCCTTTTTTTCCCCCTCTGCAAAGTCCTTCTATATACGTGTAATTTCCTTTTTTATCTTGTTAATGCCTCCTCAATGGCTAGGAGTAGAGAAACATCAAAAGAAGAAAAGAAAAAAAAAAAAGAATTCATTATTCCACAAAAAAAAAAAAAATCGAAACAATTTACTGACGCAATGAGGAAAAGCAAGCAAACAACAACAACAACAACAACAAAAAAAGCATAGAGTTAAAGAATAATAAAGAAAGAAAAAAAAAAAAAGGGAGGAGAGTGTAAATAAATAAAACTCAAGTGTACAATGTGCAACATCCTCTCACACTCTCCAAAACTGCTATGCCGGTACACACAGAGAGAATAAGAGAGACATATGCATATACATATACATACATATATACATACAAATTAAATATAGAAGCCGTGAATTCTCTGTGTGAGGATGCAGAAACAGAGTCAATAACAACAATAGCCGAATATATATATATATATATATATATATATATATAAAGGGAAAATCAGAAAGAAAGAAAACAAAAAAGTAAACTGAAAGGTGACTACACAACCTCAAACCCCGGAAGCAATCTGATCCCATAGATGCAAAAAGTACAATCCATGCACGGTTTCATCAAGAGACAGCAAATTAGAGGATGTGCCTACCCGAGTCTCAACAGCATCAGCATTGCCATTATCATCCAAAGTACTGGTGCCCGCATCATTAGTAATAGTAGTAGTACCCGTAGCAATATTAACAGTATTAGTATCAGTAGTAGTACCCGTAGTAGCCGTAGCTGTTGAGGTTGTTCGTTTTTTACTATTCTGTTCATTCTTTTCCACCGGCCCCTGTGGAGTGGCGGCGGACTGCAGTGTCTCTGGCATTTCTCCAAAGGCCTCACCGCACGATGGACACTTGTCTGGTAAACCGGTAGAAACATCACGTGGGGTGCAGGCAGAGCAGCCACTGCAGAAGAACGCCGTTACAGGCATAACAACTTCAGTAAAAAATACAACTTCCTCTTCTTGTTCAGATGGAGTTATGGGAATTGGGATACCTTCACCAATGTCACCCTTGCGTTCTAAACTAACTCGACTGGAGTTTCTTTTTTCATCATCTTCATGCATATTCATTTGTTGCTGTTCTAATACGGCACGTCGTATTTTTTTTGCCAATCCACTTGCACTGCTTTCAGGAATAACAATACCTTCTGTGGATAGTTGTGGTTTTTTATTTCTATTGGTATTACCACTACCAGTACTACCAGTACCACTACTAGTACTAGTCCTACGACCATTCGTAATATTTCCTCGGGTACTTCTTATACCATGTCCACGTGAGTGAAGAGAATGACTTTCTTTGAAATTATCTTGTGATCCAAGTACAATAGACTTTAATGGATTATGTTTAGGGTTATACTCATACAATTGATTACAAGCCTCATTGAAATCTAATGGTTTTGTAGTGGATCCCATCGATATCGTTTTCGTACGTTCTGCTGTTACTGCAAGACGTTCATTTCTTTTACTACTATTACTATGGCTGTTACTGTTACTACTCTCCACCCGTTCACTTGGGCCGGACCGCACTTCTCTTATCGCTGATGTTGGCGGTGGAGTGTTGGGAATCCACGTGCTGCGCAGCCGGCGCGGTGCCCCGTGTTCATCCCACTCCACCACCACAACGTTGTTGTTGGAATCACTACTACTATGGCCCACCGCTGCACCTTCACGTTCAACGGAGTAATCGGCAACAGCGGCAAGAAGAAGTGGATAGAGTGTACGCTCCGCTTGTGAGACTCGCTCTGCTACATCCTCTTCTACTTCCTTTTCTATACTATTTTGTTTTTTATCTCTCGTGACAGCCTCGGGTTTCTTGTTCTTGGTGTTATTACTGATCTTCTTCTTACTGTTGTTGTTGTTGTTATTAAGATGATGATGATGATGATTATTATTATTGACGGATGACTCTGCTGGTGTATACTGGCCCTCATACCATGGTGGAATCCCACTCGTCATTTCACTGTCTACACCGACGGACTTTGATGTTGCCATAATTCTCGCCGCATCCGACACATTTAATCCTTGCGATGAGCGATGCGTTAACGACTGTTCCCGCCCCTTCGCTTCTTGTTGAGATTTAGTTAATTGAAGAAGATCTTCAAATGTTACTCCGCGGGACTCCTGTCGGGCCCCTTCCCGCAGGGAGGCCAGTGTTCTATCAATATTGAGGAGCACTTCTCGCCCTTTACTGTACATGGCACGTCCTTTTTTCTTATTTTTTTTTTTTTCGTTTCTTTTTCAGTCGAACTACAGGGTGAATGATTAAATAAATAAATAAATAAAACAAATAAGAGGGAAGTTAGTGTATAGTAATAAATTGGATTACAGTGACACACACTTAATTCCTTTCTTTCTCTTTTTATTTTCTATTGGAATTATAAATAAATATAAAAGTATAAATATATAAATAACAAAAGAATGGACAAAGATCTCCAACAAAAAGGAATGTGGAAAGAATTCTCATTTGCATCACTTCTTTGTTTTGTTTTTCTTGTTTTTAACACCCTCTTTTCACATCTATTCACACATAATAATAAAAACAAACAAACAACATCACTCTTCTTGCAACGAAGAACTCAAATACAGATCACAATAAAAAAAAAAAAACTCATTCAAAAGAGTTTAAAGAAGAGGCAAGACTAAATGAAGAAAGGAGTAAGAATAAGAAAGAAAAAGACTCAAATTACAAATACAACTATATATATATATATAAATATATATATAAATACAAATATATATATAAATATAAATATAAATATATTATCTTTCATGTACATGTACACTCACATGAGTAAATATATAGATATATATATATATATTTTCTTGTATGAATTCATTTTTATTGTTCCATTGCGGCGGAGGTTTCGCCCCCTTTCCATAGGCGATACCGCAATTGTGCATCTTTTGGCAAATAGACCACAACCGGCACTCCACTATTGTAATGAATTAACTGTGGACTCTTAAGCGATACAAATTTCTCCACAGGCATTACACCAGGCAGTGGGGCGTAGCGGGTGGCGGCTACAACGGGTCCAAGCTTTACAGTGTAATAAGTGTAATTATGCCCAGGGACCTCATGTGCGGTTACACTCCCTGAAATGAAGTGTCGGTTTACGGTATCCACTCTCTCTATACGACCAGGGAGTAATTCCAACATGTAATCATCACGTTCTGCCTCTGCATCTTTAAGAGGATCAAGAAGAAACATGCATCGTTTCTCATCTTCGGCCGGTGGTGGTAACTTATCGTGCACGCGGCGGTATACTCTTCCTGTTGCCGCCTCCGTCACTGCCTTCATTATTCTGCCCATTGCACTTTATTTATTAATATAGTCCTTGAGAGGGGGGTGAGTGCACTATTATACACACACAGAGAAAGAGAAAAGGAGAGAGAGAAAGAAAAGGTAATAATAATAAAAATAATAAAAACAATGGATTTAAAAAACACATGCCTTTCTTTTTTTTCTTTCTTTTTACTCCCTCTTGGTTACTTCTTTGTTTCTTAACGCTGAGCGTATTTTATTGTATTGACTGTTGTATTTCCTATACCCTCCACGAGCAGCAGCAGCAGCAAGTAGGAAAAAATAACAAACAAACAAAGAAAAACAGAATGAACTAAGGAAGAAATATTTACAATAATGATGAAAACGAATGGTTACACTAATTGTAAAGGAAATGAAGGAAGATTGTGACTGTGATTATCACACACACGCACACACACACTCGCACTCCCACTAATTCTTCTTCGATTTCTTTTTATTTACTCGTTCTTTCATTTTCTTCATATTGTCATCTTTACTCCAGAGTTATATATATTTCTGCGAAATACACCAAACCATAGACACACACACACACACACTCTTTCTCTCTTTCTTTTACTTGTGTGGTCAATAAATATAGCGTAAGCCATTCACACACGTACTTCTTCTTCCCCATCACTTCGGTCGATAGATAGTGCTAGAGGAATCAGAAAATTCCTTGTGATATTGACTTCACGGGTTCGATGTTGCAGGTTTCTCTTGCTTCCCATCTTTAGTTGTTGTTGTTGTTGTTGTTGTTGTTGTTTTTGCTGCCTTCGCCTTCTTTGCCTTCTCAGCACGTTCTTCCATCTTCTTTTTGTATTGAAGGATACGACGCTGAACTGCCTTGTTTGGTGGCACAAGTGTATGAAGCGGTTTACGGCGTGTTTCTGGTTCCAGTGGATTTGGAATTTCTTCCGTTGGTGTAAGCCGATCCACTAATCCACTTCGCACAAAGTACATATACCCACTGTATGGCATATTACTCTTCTGTGACCACCACTTCATAGGCCGTGCACTTGGGGCGTCATCAAAGACGTAGTGATCCACGCCTTGATGGAGATTGTATTCAAACAACACGATGGGAGCACCTGTGACGAATGGAGAGCCAATGGTTCCACCGGTGGGATATACTTGTTGTTTCTGTTGTGGTGATGTACTACCCAATACTACGGGTTTGGACATTTGAAGTTTAAACGGGAGATCCACTTCAAGTGGGACGTACGGGGGCGGTGTACGTGTGGCCCAACTCACAGGCAATAATATTTCCATCTCATCATTATCATCATATTCATCTTCTTCTTCCTCTCCCTCTTGTTTTTGTTGTTTTGCTGTGTCCTTCTCCTTGACGGGAGTGACGAGACGTGAGCGGAGGGCGGCGTTGTGGGCGAGTTGATGGACGACGTCCAACGCGGTGTGTGCGGGGGCCTCAAACTCGCCAACGTACATCCGCCGCTGTTGGGCGATTTGTGTGGAGGCGACGAGTCCCACGGCGTCTGCGCCCCCGCCGGCGAAGTGTCGGATGTGCGCCTGCAGGAGCGCCACGTCGACGTCGTGTTGGCGGCCCACGAGGGCGGGCGCGGCGAGTGTGTAGTTGTGGGCGGCGAGTTGACTCTGCAGGGCGCCGACGCGGCGGGCCCGCTGCCAGAGCATCGGCTTGCGGCTGAACCACGTGCCGTACCCCTCCGCCTGCGAGACGGCCACCACCCCGCGCCGCACCCCCGCCCGGCCAAGATGCACCAACACCGAGCCGTGCCGCCGCCCATCTACACAAGAAGAAGAAGAATAAGAAGAAGAGTGAGAAGATGAGGAAATAGGTTCAATGACATCCGCCGCGTTAAGGGGACCTACGTGGATAATGTCCGTTCGCAGACGTTCACCACGCACCCCATAGGCACAGGTCACGTAAGACTGTTCAATCAGTCCACGTGGGTGTAAGACACTGTGCTGAATGTGTGGAAGTAAATAGACACCATGGCCCTTCTGCACAATATGCCGTAGAGCGTAGTTGGCGTGGCGGGCCATACACTCTAAAGAAAGAAGTTTGTTGTGATTGATCACAACACGAGGACCCTTATCATCAACATCACCACCATTATTATCATTATCATTATAATCCTTATCCGGTTTTCTTCCTTCATCTGAGGAAGAAGAAGAAGTAGAAGTAGAAGCAGTAGTAGGACTAGTTCCAGTCGTATTTCTTCTCGAGGCACGGCGAGAGCGTAGAGTTACTTCCGGAAGTAATAACGGTGCCCATTGTGGATCATCAAACTTGTACGTGACAACATATGAGTTAATGTTATTTACACTTTTGCTGCGGCGTACATTAGCTACACAGAGTTCATCCGCCCCCCGCACCCAACGATACGGATTCTCCAATTCACCTCCATGCGAATAACGTTCTTCTCCCACGGCACCATGCAACTTTACGTGAACAGCAGCTGTCGGTGGGCGACTGGAGGAAGATGATGAAGATGAAGAGTCACCATTACTACTGTTGGTTGATTGACCAGCCACGGACTTCTGTAGTAACGGTACAGTAGCGTTTGGCTGCGCAAAGGCCATTGGGTACGTCAACAACCGCAATCGCTCCGTGCTGGGCTGACGCTTTATTGAAAGAAGCCGAAGTTGCTGTCGCATCTAATTCTTATCTTATTTGGTGGGGTCTATGGATTAGTAACGATGGATATTTGGTCTACCAAACCTTTTTCCTTTCTTCCTTCCTCTTATCACAGTCTACTCTACTCTACTCTCGTGAGGAGAGGATGTAGAGGTATGCAAGAACACAAAAAAAAAAAAACCAAAAAAAAAAAAATTGAATTTCTCCAATAAGGGAGAAGAATCAAATCGCCCTATTTATATTATTGTGTGCTTCTGCTACAGGAAGGATATCCTTCCTCCACTCCACTATAATCCAATAGAGAGAGAAAAGAAAAGAAAAAGAAAAGAAAAAAAGGAAAAAGTATGAAATAAAGGAGTATTATTCAACAACACGGACCATTCAAAATGGAAACAATCAGAGAGAAAAATAAAGGAATGGGATCTGAAGGGAAGAAAAAAAACAAAAGAAAAACAAAAATACAAAAAGAATTCATATGTCTGTATATGAACTATGTTTTTGATACAAAAAAAAAGAAGAATAAAAGAAAAAAAAAAAAAA